CGGCAGAATCGCCGATCGGTTCAACCAGTGACATTACAAGGATCATGTGAATGGGAGCCCACCACACTTCGACACACTGGCAGTTCAGTAGCCAGTTCAGGGACATCCAGGCCAATTCAATGCTGCATAGCATGCCATGGCACTGGAGTGTTGACAGCTGAGCAGAATGTGACCATCTTTTCGCTGTTGGCCTCATTGCCCCCACGGAGTGTGACGCTAAGATGTTCAAACGAAACTTTGTCAAGAGTGACTTTTGAGTGTGACTCAGCCGTTTCAATCATCCGAGAGTCGGATCAACTCAAGTATCCTCGATATACTGTGCTAGAAGTAGCTTGCGGCAAGGAGTCAGTCATCGCAAGATCTTGTCGAGAAGTTGACTATGTTCGATACATAGGAATCCATGCAAACCTCCAGGAGATCGGAGTGCGCAATAAGGCGCTGACCCTACTCCGTGATGGATTCAGTCGATGCCCGCATGGATCTCAGATGGCTCCAGATGACTTCAGAAGATAAAAGAACTCTTTCTCGTGCTTCTCATTCCTTCCCCAAAAATTCAAGAGAGGGGATCCGCCTTTGCAAGGGAGAGAGATGTGCACGAACGAGACATGCCGAGAAGCAATCAGCACTGGAAAAGTCGAGATCTTGAGAACTTCTTCGAAAAGCACGGAATGGCATATCAGAGTGAATGTCATGCTGTTCAATGGGATTGGAAACCCAGAGTGGACTTCGAATTGGCAAAATTTCAGGATTCAGAGTTCCAACGCGTTTTTGAGTCAACGGTTGAACTCTCGCTTTCAATGTTGTTGTATTGAGAAACATGCACCATTCAATGCAGTTGATTACCATGATACTGAAAGGTACTCGATGAAATTTGCTCGTTTTCTTGTGAAGAGTTTCTGCATCTGTGCATCCTTGAGGTGAGAACCCAAGCTGAGCAACCGACTGGCTGAGGGCCTTTTCTTTTGTTGCTGCGCAGATAGCTTGATGACACTTGCGGATGAAGCTTCCGATGATCGATGTGAAAATGTGTGTGCATGAGATGCCGCTGGAATTCAATAGCTTTTGAACTGTGACTGTTCACACCTTTTAGACTGTCTACTGTATAGAGTCTGTCGAGAGTCGATGAAATTGGATCAGGTTTTTGACAAAGGTACTTCATAAGTCTTGTCTCGGTCTGTGTGACCACTTTACTTCGAGAGACTTGAAATCAGTTGAACAGTGAGACTGTTTTTCAGGAAGGAAAGCCGTGCTCGTGTCGAAATGACCCTTGAGTCGCCTCTCCCTTCCTATCTTTTCTTTCCTTTCGGAGAACTTTTCTTCGCCGAACTTTTCCGCAGCCGTTTGTGTGTGTGGGGCGTCCGCGCGGGAAGCCATGTTGTCGTTTGAGGGCAGCTGCATTGCTGCGCTGGCGTTGTATGGCGCGCTGAGCTTGCTTGTGAAGCTTTTTGGCGCTGCTGGAATGGCGAAGAGCCTTTTGGGACAGAAGAGGATGATGGCCGATAAGCCAGAGGGGCAAGAGCCGCTGATGAGAGAGAGAGTCTCTTTGAAAGCTGCTGCTTCTTCAGGTGATGCTGCTTCGAGCGCTGCTGGCCGGCCGACTGGTGTTGAGAACACTGCAACTTCCGAGTGGACGAAGATGAATGCAGTGAACAAGGTACTTGAGGTTTTTGTGACTTCGACTGGGTCCAAATTCCACCTTGACCGTCAATGCCAATACTTGCGAGGCAAGAAAGTCACCTCTTTTGGTTTGTGTAGCTGCTGTGAGCGCAAGCGTTTACTAGAACAGCGAGTGACCACTGTCCAAAGTGGCATGTGAGCTTCGAAAGGGGGTGTGAGAATTCATAGTACAACGGTACTGAGGAGCGAAGACTCCATACCACTTGTTTAGAGACCGCAAAGAAAGTTTTTGAGGAGCGGAGACTCCCTACGACTTGTTTGAATGACGTTCGTTACCTTTTGAGGACATTGAAAGATCCCTTTCAATGTTTCCATATGTTTGTAGTGTGTGTATGAGGTGTCCGAGAACACCCGAAAATGTTTGAACTATGCTCTTAGTTGTTTCCAACTGTTTTGAGAACTTTTGTGAAGCGTTGAAGTGTTTTGAGTATGGTTTTGCATGTCCACAAATGTCCCGAGAACATTTGTGAACCTTGGAGAACGTTCGTCACTTTGGCTCAAGTGTGCGGCGAAAAGTGTGCGTGTCTTTTGCCTGGTTTTTCTTCCGTTTTCGACTCGGGTCGTTGAGACACTTGACTGACTAGGTGTTTTGAGCACGAGAGCTTTTGATTTTTCGTCAAGAGTTTGTGTGTCAAACTTTCACGTCGAGAGGCATGACCTTGCCAATCAACTGGCTGAGGAGCTCTCCGTTGAGGTGACAAAAATCTCCACCACGTCAGACGTGTTCGGCTGTGAAGTTGATCTGTTGCATCCAGACACCCAAGAACCCCTTCAAGATCCAATGTGGAACACCCTTCAGGTCAACGCATGCTTCAATCCAGTGGTTCGAGTAATGCATGGAGGTCCACCAATCCAAGCAACAATTCCAAGAGAGCGAATGCCTGAAACCTCGGGCGTCATCCCGGACAGTGCTTTCATTCAATCCCACGATTCAGACATGTTGTAACTCGCGTCCCCATCGATCCGACCGATACATTTGTTGCAGCATCGACTCAACTGCACATATGTTGCCGAATCTGCCAGATGGATGGGCGCAAGTTAACACCAGTATTGGCACTGGTCACACTGCCCAGCTCCCAGTTGGCCAATTACTTGCCTCGTGGATTCGCTTGAAACGGTCATGCACCGCAGGGATTGGATGGCTGCCATAGAGACCAACATCCACAAGTCCGACGAGGAGCTGCTTGGCCTCCTGCGCCAGTATGTCCAGACCAAGGCATTGCCTCCATGGCTGAAGCCCAGGCACTCCTTCTCCGTAACTTCCGTGGGCAGAGGGGACAACGATCAGTGTGCCGGCTCATTGAAATGGCTCGTAACCTTCTCGCCCCCAATCCCGTTTCGAGAAGTGTTTGTCATATTGGCCCTCTTCCTGCCACAGCTCTTCACCGAAGGTGCCAGAACCTCCCACTGTCTTTGGTCAAGCCCGGAAGTTCAACGCAATGAGTACTATGTACAAATCTTGGTCCAAGGAATGCATGAGTTCCACATTACCTTTCCCAACTGGTCCAATGCGGCAGCATTCTGTCTTCCTCCCTTGCATGGTTTGGAATTTGGACAGCTCACCCAGAGACCATTTGCGCCCCCACAGGCTGTCAGGTGGGGAAGTGTGCCGTATGATCCTGCAAGAAGACACCCGAGCAATTGATCTACTTGTCATCTTGCTGGAGTTTGTCCTCAAGCCAAGCGGAAAACGAAAGAAGCACCTGAAGTCCAATCGAGAACGTCAAAATCCCGGTCAATGAAGAAGCGCAGCCGCAGCAGGACATGGATCTTAAAACAGCCTTCACTCCTGCGGTCCCCGCCAACCCTTATTTCGCGCTATTCTGAGAGACCCGAAGCAGAGTCCAGGGCGAGCAGCCGAGGGTGTGCTTGATGCTACGATGGTGTCCTTTCCTTCGTCTGCCAAAATGAACCTTCGCATCGAGGTCCCAGTGTAGTCCGACACCACTAAAGCGAGACAGACTGCCCCGCGGCCGGACACAGACGAGTCCGATCTTGACTCCAGCATCACGGGCATTCGAGAACTGTCCCCGAGAATGGCGGAGCCTGTCACTAACATCCACGATGAAGCACTTCCACAACCAGAAGAACCAGTGTCGGATGAGGATGAGGATTGGTTGTTTGCCTGTTTTGTTGGCCGGTTCACTTCTCCTTCTTTTACTAGCCCAAGGTGACTTGTGCATAACCTGCACACATAGCGCCTCGACACGTGCAAAAAACCAGTGTCGGATGAGGAAGCAACGGCGGAAGATGAAACGTACATAGTCCCAGAGGGCCACGGACGGTTTCTCTTCCGCTATCTTCTGCTCCAAGGGGCTGCGCGGACCTATGCCATGGGCAACATTCAGTATGATTGTAACCTCATTGCCAACTGGCTTACAATGGGCCTGGATACTGCAATCCTCAGAGCTGGATGGCACCTTCTCTCTCCTACATGGCAGCGTGCTGCCATGGAGACCTGGCGGCTGCGGACTTATTTTGCCCAAGGCTACCCAGAAATGCAACAAACAGACAGGCCGTATCAACGGGCCCACAAAAAGCCATATCGCGCAACAAAATGGGCCCAAGCAGTCCGGTGGCTTACCGGGGATCCGACCTTCCTCAACAAACTGAACGCATTTAGTGACAAGAAGAAAATGCGGGCTTCTTGGAAGGTTTGTTAGAAGCCATGTTGCAATCGTTTGATGACCGTTTTGGAGGGCTTTCAAAACTGACCAAGGGGTGGACGGGGTGTATATGGCAGACGGGGGGTGACGGATGCGCACCAGAACCGCGATGCTTGAATCTCATGGTTGCCACGAAGCCTGGAGGGGGCTGATGCTTCGTTTTGGCCTGCTAATGTGTCTTTGTTTGTTTTTCCTGGGTTGCGCGCTTCTTTTTGCTTTTGGGCCCGTGGGCTCACCTTGTTTCCCTAAGTTGTGATGTCTTTCTCCAACAACTTACCCAACATGCATTATTCTTGTGAGCTGTGGACAACTCAGGTTTTTTCAATGTTTCAACGTATTTTTGACGAAGCAACACGTGTATTTTTGCGTCAGCAAGCGCAACAAGCAAACAATAGCCAAACCCAACCGATTTCGACGGTGGGGTTGACTCTCCACAGATTCTGCGCCCTTACTGGTGCGGCAATAATAGTGTAGCAATTTGTTCATTCAAGACAGCTTCCATGAGTGCAGCACTCCAACCATTTAGGATGAACCGATTCTTATGCAGATGACATGCCAAATTTTCAAGATTTGTCAGGGTGCATGTTTTGCATGTTTTCTGTTGAAGACTGTTCGTGATTGGCTTTGAAGAAAGACGTTGGAATTTCACAGCTGGGACATTACTCAAATTCAACGGATGGCCTATGCTTAATTGAGCCATGGAACCCGAAAAAAATTTGCAAGATAAATTTTGCATCCAATGTAGTGAATACTTTGTGCGGGCTAGCCCTCGACATGATGCTCACGACCAAGTGCATTTCAATACAGAGGGTCATGTATCGGAGGATACGCTGTGTTCCTTGCTGGTGAGCTTATTCACCGTGTACAGTGACAGGCCATGCTTGGGAACACCAACGGGAGGTTGTGCTCAGTGGAACTGGGTGTCGTATGCTCAAGTGAAGAAGCGTGTAATCTCCTACATTCGATTCTTGAGAGGCTCAGAAAGCATAGAAATCAATCGTTTCTTGGTGGCGGCATTTCCCCAGAATTGCCTAGAACTGATTGCATTTGACTTGGCAGCTGCCCTGCTTGGAACTTGTTCCGTGATTGCTCAGGGAGCAGAACATGCACGTGAGATAGTTTCAGCTCTTGGCGAGGAGAGATGCGAAATCATAAGCGGACCTATTAAAGAGAAGGTGAATCCAAGTCAGGCGAACTTTGACTTTGAAGAGTTGTTGTGGACTGGAGGTGACAAGGACGTTTTATTTTCTCTTTTTGCAACTTCTGGATCCACTGGTACTCCAAAACTTGTGCGTCGTACTAGAGGATCGTGGCTGGACACTGTGAGAGACACCGCTCAATTTGGAGGCCATTTGTGTATAACATTGAACTTTACATCTTTCGCACATTCTGCCGCACGCACTGAGTTGTGGTGGAATCTTGCTTGCGGGGGTCAAACTGCACTGGCAGATGTTCATCTAGAGTTGTTGGATTCACTTGAAGCCCTGTCGCCCACAGAGATTGCTGCACCTCCTGCTGTTTGGTCAGAAATTCGAAGTGCACTCCTGAATCGAGGTGTTTTTGATTTTGACACCCTGCAGCGAAACATGGGCAGACTGCTTCAAAACCTCCACACTGTGTCCACTTCATCAGCAAGCTGTGAACCGGGGCTTTTCAGTTTCTTGGAGAAGGTCTTCGGGAAAAAGATAATGGTATTTGACAACTATGGTGCAACAGAAGTTGGTTGTATTGCTTTGAATGGCAAACAACAGGGTGAGGTTAAGTTGGTGGAAATCCCTGAGCAAGGCATTTTTTCTCCGCAAGGAGAAGTTTGCATCCAGGCTGATGCATTTGAGGGCTACTATGGCCAACAGTTTCAGCAGGAAGGTGTACTGACTGAGGATGGTTACTACAGAACAGGCGATATTGCTGAGAAGACAGAGCTCGGGGAGATTCGCGTTATCGGACGATTGTCAAACATGGTAAAACTTTCAAATGGCAAATTGGAATCTTTGGACTTTATAGACAAGCAAATTATGCAAACATTGCAAGCAAAGATGGCTGATGTAGAGCAAGTCTGTACTCTTGAAATCCTTGGCTCCCTAGCTGCTGTTGTTCACATACCCAGCCAAGAAATGCCACCACCCTTGTGGATTCCTTGCATTCTTGCTCACGAGAAGTTTACGGTTGAGAACGGAATGCTCACACCGTCCTTAAAACTTTGTCGGCGGAATATATTGGCCAAGCATGAGGCCGAACTCCGTGCGCTGATTGAGGAAAGAAACAGCAAGGTGCATGAGATACTCTCCTCGGTTGCTTCATTCAGCGTGAGTGGAATTGATGACACTCGGCCCCTTCAAGAATATGGTGTAACATCTGTCCATGTCGCCAGGATAGCCTCAATGCTAGGAATTCCTGCTTATCTCATTTCCGGGGCGTCAACGTTGCGAGACCTCAATTATTGTATTGCCAGCGATGGAATGGTGAGATTTGCACTTGCAGACATTCATACCTCGATTCAGCGATGGAACACAAGCAGCGGCATTCCCAACCCTTCTCAATTCGATAGTTTTGACACGGCAGGCGAAACTGCATGGGAAGGACCATGGCGAAGGGCGGTAGTTACTGGAGCTACTGGGCAAATTGGTTCGCACTTTGTGAGGCTTTTACAAGACAGAGGCCTGACAGTCATTCCTGTGGCATCTTCTTTGGGTCATGATATCAGCAAGCCGCAGTTGGGCATGAATGACCAGGTTTACTCTGATTGCTTGCAATCTGACGTGATTGTTCACTGTGCGGCTATTGTGAATTGGAATGCCTCTTATTCAAGTGTACGAGAGGCAAATGTCCTGAGTATTCTAAACCTTGCCAGACTTTGTATTAGTGGCAAGCCTAAGGCACTGCTCTTTGTAGGAAGCGGTGTTACTTTCCCTGAAGAAGAACCTCACCTTGAGTGGCTTGAGGAGTGTGCAAACCCCTACATGGTCTCGAAAATTGCCTCGGAATTCTTAATCCGAAAACTTAATATTCGGGCTGTGGTGGTGCGAGCGGGCACGATTGTTTGGCATTCTGTGACTGGGGCACACAAATCCTCTGATGCATACGTTCAGCTCGTGAAGGCAATCATCAGAGACGGTCTTATTTGGGATGATGACGACTTGATGGATGGCATGAATGTTGACCTTTTCTGTAAGGCAGCTTACACACTTTTTGAGCACCGCAAGAATGACACGTACAATCTATGTGGCACTTACACCCTGTCAGCTCTTATGCAATGCTTGCACCTCGAGCCTCGAAGAGTCCCGTACCCTTGTTGGAGAAGGCAGTTGCTGTCGCGCTGCACAGACGACCATCCTTTGACTCCCCTGCTTCCGCATATTGAAGCTGACTCTCCCCCTTTTGTGGCTGACAACTACTTGAAAAAACATGTCCTATCGCCAAAATGCAGGAAGGTCTTGGGTTTGGAGAACTCACAAGAAATTGTTGCTGCTGGCTACGAAGCCTTTGCCAAAGCCATGGCATCTTCAGAAAAAAGAGGGCCGGCAGCATTCTCCCGCGCACATTCTATCAGCAAGACCAGTGAGAGTCAACAGGCTACACATTGCTGAGCTTTTCAGGTTGGCAAAGATTGTAGGGCGTGAGATGAGCAGTGTCCAGAGCTGCAGGATAAGGTAGCAAGCTTTTGTGAAAAAGTCTTTATCTGAATTGAGACACAACCTTTGAAAGTACACACGTACAAGAAGGGAACGTGTTCTAATCAGGTCGCAAAACAACTAGTCTTCACAATGAGAAGATGCTGCCAAAACACCAGCTGGTTCATGAATGTGGATCCCACTTTCCTTGATAAGCATTCCAGTTGTTTGGCAATTCTTTTTCTGTGCACCAGTTCAACGGTCAACCATGGTCAACTGAAAGCAGTTTCCGGTTTCACTTTTGCAACACTGAAACTCAAGCCGGCCGTCCGATGTGCTGTTTCGTGACTCAGACTTAGCACAAAGCAGTGCTGCCTTTGTACAAAGTAACCTGGCATGCTCAGGTTTGGCAAGATATATTGTCACATGTGTGATGGCATCTCAACATAAAATCCGCCCACACCGAAGGTGCCGAGGCGTTGTGGATGGCTGAGCTTGTGGCCCCTCCATGTTCTGGAAATGAAATGGTGGTTTTGTGAGTTTTTTTAAAGGTTTTTGAAGATGGAGAAGCATTGATATGCTTTCGGAGCTAAACGCTCGCGATGCCAAATACGCAGCCCGGGGGATACTGCATTTGGCATTATCGACATCATAGTTGTGTTCGTCCGTGTGTCCTGCCCGACCCAGACAGACAGACAGACAGACAGACAGACTGACTGACTGACTGACAGACCGAGACAGACCGACCGAGACAAACAGACCGAGACAGACAGACAGAGACAGACAGACGCACACACTCCGTGCGGGGGGCTTCGAGCGCGAAGCGCTGTTTCAAGACGAGTTCGACCAAACTTGCCAAACCTGGTAGAGGTAGGGTGGACGCACCTGGGCTTGGGTTTTAGCAATGCGTGCAATGTCACCCTACGTTATGCTTGTCACTGTTTTGTTGTTGTTGCCCGGTGTCCCAAAAATTTACGTGACATGGCTGTGAATCCTGAGATGGCTGCCGTGGAGGAGAGGAGAGTCAACATATCTTTAATTTTTTGGGAGCTTGTGCTCTTCCTCAGACTGGTCGGATCGCTGCATTGTAACGTGGTCCCCGACGATCAGCAACGCTTTACTCAATATATGTTCTTGCCAACTTAGGTTCAAGGTAGTTTTGGGCACCCAACCCAGTCTTTGGCTTTGTCAGAGGTTCTGCGGTTCTGCAATTCCAGGTAAGGGCTGATGCATGTTCTGAACAGTTGCTCAAGCCAATTCGCAGCAAATGATTCTTGCCTGGTGGGGTCTTTCTTACATCGGTCTGTTCTTGAGCTGGCAGATTTTTGCGCGAATTACTCGAATTGGAAATTTGCCAGGGCCCTTACCCAATGCCATTTATGCAGTTGCCAGCAGTCACCACCAACAGCACCGCATGATTTTCGACATATTATGTAGCCACTTGGGGGCACGCGTATACAATTCTTATCAGAACCTGCTTTGGTATCCAAGCTGTTTCCCATGCTTGTGTTTCTTTTTGCTAGCACGTTTGCAACTTCTTGTCGGATTCGGGAACTCGTTGATGCGTTTCCCACTTGCTTTTTGCGGTTGCCTTGAGTGACCCGGACAGGGATCTCCAGAGCACAATCACCGGGTGTCTTGCTATTGTGCATACCGGTTCCAGAAAAAAGAGCAGCTATATAGTATGATGAATGGTGTCTCCAATGTCCCTGCGGCAACAAACAAACATGTTGTGTGTTACCTGTTTTTTGCATGGCTGTCATCCGTTGGAGACGTTGAAATACAAGGAGGAGGAGATCATATGTCGGTACTGCTTTGGAGGTGGGCCTTGCTCCACAATCCCAGCAGCTTTTAGTCTTTTGTGGCAAAATTTTTGCGATTACAGCTCTTTGCTTTTCATCTGGAGCGCTAAGTACAAGAATGGAGGCATGCGGACTAGATTAACCCAAACGTCCTTGGATTTATGGCAAGCTGTATTTTGGGTAGCAACTTCCAGCACTGCCACGGTCTTCTCTTCTTTCACAATGAAGGCACTGAGGATGGGGAGCTCATCTCACCTTGCAAGTGTGCGGGTGGTCAGAAACTTGACAATGTTTCACAGCTTGTTATCGAACATTAGACCTTTTGAAAAGATTCATGTTTTCTGTGTTCTGGCCTCTGAAGTCCTTCTTAGTGTAAACATCCTAAGGAAATTTGTACACTTGAAATGCCTTCGTCAGTGGCAGAGGATGGTCTTGGTAACCCAGTCGCTTGGAAGTTCAACAATGCTTGCTGCATTAGGAAGGGGCTCTTCGACAATACATACATTCTCAGTCTCGAGTGGAGTGTTGAAAAGTGGTCGCTCATAACAGTTGGCTAGTTTCACTTAGGCCAACCCACCCAGCCTTTTACGACAGGGACCTCAGGCCACGGAGTGTGAAGAACAAACACGCAAAGACCTGAAAAGGCATTAAAGGCAACGTGATGTGTGGATCGAGGCATCAGACGTGCAATGTGTGCAAATCTGAATTCACATGCGCACCACCAACACGCCACGAGCTTATGGCCTCCTTCACTGGACCTGAGAGACTTGGAAGAACAGTTTACCCAGAACACTTTGTTGTTTGGCCCGCTTTTACTTTGGGTAGTTTCTTTGTAAAACCTACCCGGGGTGGTAGGCCGCGCACAGGGTAGAAGAGGTAGCTACTAGACTAAGCTAGCTTCTAGGTAGGACACAGGATAGCTCACGCTTCCTTGAAGAAGCGCTCGCACTAATGCTTTGGCTCCTAGAGTTTTAGGGAACTATATAAGTTAATTACAAGCATTATTCATTTGCACGTGCAGCCGCTTGATCACTTCTATGCAAACCCAGTGAATCTGTGAAATTGTGATACACCGGCATCGCTCGACCCAAGACCAAGCTAGGAACCTGTACTCCAAATGGGGGTTACGTGTCCGCTGAAAAGGGAGTCCGTTCTTGCTTGGCGGCTTGCTGCGGTTTTTGGGATTCACAGTGGTAGCGGAGCCCGGTAACGTCCGGGTCTCCTTCACCCTTTTTGGTTTGGGGTTTGGGGTCGACTCCCTTTTTGGTGGGACACTTAGCCCCCGCTTGGAGTTGTGGCTTTTGGGATGGCCGGACAAACTCAGGCCGTCCCGCCATCGGATGGCGATCTAGATGAACCCGTAGGAGGATCGCCAGCCGCAGGTTCACCCGGTGCGCCCGATGGCATGGGGACGGACCGCGAAGCCTTTCTTCGGTTCCAGAGGTTCCTTCGTCTGGAAAGGGAGCAAGAAGGGCGCGGTCTACGTGGACGACGTCGTCAGCGAGACGACGAGGAAGAAGAAGAAGATGGAGGTGGCGACGGCCGGGGGTCGGCTGGACCACCACCATCGTGGGACGGAGTAACACCCTTCGAGGACTACTTCATCAAGGCAAAGCTATGGATCGCCACGACCAAGGCCAAGGGCCGCTCCCGCGGTCCCCTACTTTTGAAGATGTTGAGTGGCGCCCCGTTCGAGCACTACAAACACTGGGCAAAAGACCCAGAATGGATGGCTGATCCTTATGGCGCTGAGCGGCTTCTCAACGACATGGACACCCCAGAGAAGTATGGAGACGACCAACAAGAACACCGCTATGTCCAGGATCACCTACCACTTGAGGCGCCAGCGGAATGAGACCTGGCGAGAGTACTTTGCGAAGTGGGATGGCGCCATTCGCAAGGCACACCAGCACAAGATCACCCTCCCTGAAGAGTATGAGGGCTTCTTGATGATCAACGGCCTTCAGCTCACCGAGACCGAGACCAAGGCCATGCTGAACTACACTCATGGATGCATCAAGCCAAGCTCCATCAAGAGTTGGTTGAGGAAGAATGAAACCCGCCTGTCAGCTGCTGAATTGGGAGCTGACAAGAAGAAGACCCAGGTCAACTTTCTCACGGAGTTCGAGGGACACCACATCGAGAACAATGACATTGAGGAGAACGACGAGGACAAGGAGGAGATCGACGAAATTGAACAATGCATCATGCACCTCCAGGACGACGTCGACGGCGACACGGTCCTTAGTGAAGGTGAGGCCGCCGAGATCCTCTCCACCTACGTGCAGCAGAAGAAGACCTACACCCAATCGATCAAAAATAAAAAGGCCAGAGAACTGGCCCGTGGCTACGGAAAGCGACCACCTCCCGGAGGACATGATCGAGGACCCTTCCGGGACCGACCACTTCGACCAGGTTCGTACTGGGTCACCATCGCCGAGTTGCAGAAGAGAACCCGCTGCCGCAACTGCGGCCAGATCGGGCACTGGAAGCGAGACTGCAAGAATCCGCCCCAGAAGAACCCGGACCTCAAGACCAACGAAAGTCACTACCTGGAGAACACCAATGAGGCCTTCTTCATTGGACATCTTGCCGAGGACACGCCGGACTTCGAGCATGACCTGATGATCATGGAGTCCGACGCCATGAACCTGGCCACGAGGTCTTCTACCAGTACTGAGCGGCATGGAGTGGCTACTCCCCTGAGCCCGGCCGGTAGGACCTGGCAGCCAAAGGCTGACTATGCCACGGATGCTGAACGCCCGTCCGCGTCGGCATACATGGAGAGTGACCTTTTTCGTCCGACCGGTTGAACATTTGTTTGTTTTCGAAAACATGTTTTGCAACCTCGTCTCCAAGTCTCCCCAACCTCATGACATGGTGGACGCGACTTGCGCCACCTTCGACACAGGATGCCAACGGCTTGCCATCGGTGCACGAACACTTCGAGAGTTCGCTCAACATCTCCCTGAACCCCTGAAGATCATCCTCACTCCCGAAACGAATAGGTTCAGGAGCGTGCATCAGACATCAGTCACATCCAAGGTTGCCACCATCCCATGTTCTTTGGGTACCAAGGGAAGCTTCTTGAAGCCTGCCGTCTTTGAAAACGAGGAAAGCTCTGGTGCGCCCTTCCTCATCTCACTCAGCTTCCTACTCCATTGTCATGGAGAAGTTATCCTTTGTCATGAACAAGGCCTCCAATTACGGCTTCGAGGAACTCCCGAACTTGGTCCAACTGGTGCTTTACGAATTCCACTTCAACAATACAACCAGGTGCAAAAACATGCACTTGAACGAGAACAAAACTCGATGAACCAGAGTACTTCGGTCGAGTTTGAGGTCTTGAAATTGCAAGACGGCTGCGTGGAACTCAGCCGCTTGCCATGCAGACCGCGGGCCAGAAACGTGTTCGGGCCAGTCCAACTCCCGAGGAAGAAGACTTTCAACAACATCGAGTCCTTCAATCGTGGTTCCGCTTGATGAGACGCTTTCTACTGGTCCTGATGCCTCTTCAACAGATGCTGGAAAGGTTCATGGACCACATGCTCAGCACCAAGCCACATCGAGAGGCCCTGAAAGAGATGATCCGAGCCCTACCAGACGAACGATGATCCAGAATGTGGCCCGCCAGGAGATGAATCGACGAGAAGACACCGGCCATCGACCTCAGGAAGATGGACATTGATCCAACCTCAGCGAGACCAGCACTCATCCAGCTCGTCGACCACGACCTCCTCCGGATCCCGTTCTCACCGAAAGGTGTCGGCAGATCAACAGTCCACCAGGTATCGAGATGATCTTGGAACCACGCCCGAGGTGTCATTGCGCCCTCCAGTGTCTACACCCAGATCCTGGAGGCCATGATCCAGACCAAATGCCAACACAAGGAGACACATCGAAAGGGATCGAACGCCTTTCTCACCAAGGTCACCTGTCGCACCTGCAACAAGGTCATCAAGTCCGAGAGGATCGGGAAAATGGAAGAGGGGAACAAGTCCAAGGCCAGCACGACATCCTCGAGCTCGGCTCCACCATCCCGCCAGGGGATTCCCTCTCCGGTGACTCCCCAGACTACCTCGGACGGCGCCGACCTGGAGCACCTGACCGACTACCAGGAATTTCAAGAATACCTTCGTTGGAAAAGCCAACGACGCCCTCCGAAACGGGAGGATCAGTGAGACAGGTTACCCCGAAGCTAGAACGGAAGCTTCGATCTGCCATTAAGAAGGCGACGGCTTTTTGGCGAGAGCTTCAACTGCTGTTGGCTGACACGCCTTTGCAGCACTGGGCTCAGGCCTTAAATGACGAAATTTGCCAGGAGTTCACTATGAATCCAGCCGGCGCAAAAAGATCTCGTGAGATTGCAGAAGTCATGGGGCTGACAGTTAAACAACTTAAGACTGTGGCCGAAGTGTACAATCCTGGCTGTTTTCAGAAAATTACTGGTCGTTTTCAGTTGTCTCCCGGTCGCGCATTCGATTGAGTCTAGGAGATGATTTGCTGAATGAAGACAAACAAAACGAAGTCATGCAGTATGTCAAAACCACCAAACCAGGACTTGTTTGCATTGCACCACCGTGTAAAATGTACACCCAGCTGCAAAACCTCTCCAAAGAGAAACGTGCCCGACTGCCTGATCTCATGAAACGATACTTGAAAAACAAGGCAGAAGGTGACAGGTTATTGACTTTTGCCATTCGGTTGTGCGAACTCTGCGACGACCTCGGGATCAAGTTCATATTTGAACATCCACATGCCGCTTCCTCCTGGAAACACTGTGCCATGGAGCGGCTGTTGGATCGACCGAATGTCATCTACACCAAGGCTGACCAATGCCAGTATGGGCTGCAGGGTCAGTCAGGCCTTCCTCAAAGAAAAAGAACCGGGTTCGCCACGAACTCAGAAGCCATTGCTCAAGCTCTATGTAAGCTTTGCCCTGGCAACCACGAACACGAAGTCATCATTGGCGGCAACCGGTCTCAACGATTACAGGTCGACGGTCTACCCGGAGAAACTTCGATCGGCCATCTTGAAGGCCTACAGCCAGTCCATCAACGTGGACCATGTGGAAGTGGTCAGCTCTGAGAGCATGCTGGCCGAGAATCACCGGCTGAACTACCTCATTGACACCGAGTTCCGGGCCTTGAGGGACCTACAACCGGAAGTACCTGCAGGTCACACTGAATGCCAAGACCCCGATTCTCAAGTTCTTGACGACCCAGATTCTCGCCTACCTGACCTACCGGACTATGCCACGGCCGAGATCCTCGTCAACGAAGAGAACCGAGAACCTCGTGAATCTGATGAACCAGGGAACCAAGAGGATGATGGGGAACCACAACCAGAAGATGAACATGAAGAAGGCGAGGCACAGGAAGACCCAGAACAACCACTACCACTACACTCACGTTTTCCCATGGAACGCCTTCTCCACCGAGCGCATGTAGGCTTGGGCCACCCGACATCAGACAGATTCGTCAGGATCCTCCGGTATGCGAAGGCCAAACCCGAAGTCATCGAAGCTGCCAAACACCTTCGGTGCAGTGTGTGTCAACGACACTCCCAAGTGAAACCTGCTCGGAGAAGTGCACCGCCAAAGGAACTGGCATTTAATGAATGCATTGGAGTGGACGTCATCTTCCTGCCGACGCTTGGTAGCAGGTCACGCCCAGCCTTGAATGTCATCGACTGGTCAAGTAAGTTTCAACTCATGATCCCCATGGACAACAAGAAACCAAGTCACGTCCGAGAAGCCTACCGACATTGGCTCCGGCTATTCGGTCCTCCGAAAAGAATGGCACTGGACCTAGGACGTGAATTCAGAGGGACATTCGCCGAACAAGCAGAGCAGGATGGAACCTTTGTTGATCCCTCCGCAGTTGAAGCCCCACATCAAAGAGGCATCACCGAGCGTCATGGCAAGACCTTTAAGTACCTCCTCCAGAAGACCATGGACACCTATAGCTGTGCCGACATGAAGAAATGGGAAGAAATGGTCGACGTCACTATGATGACCAAAAATCGAATGATGAACGTCGGAGGCTTCAGTCCCAGCCAACGGGTGTTAGGCTTCAACCCCTTTTTGCCCGGAGGCCTTCTCAGTGGATACGACGGCCATCGAGGACAACAACCAGAAATCAAGGTCGGCGATCTCGGTATCGAACGATCAATGAAACTTCGAAAGGCGGCAGCGCACGCCTTTATCGAAGCAGACGCCAGCAACTCTCTCCGAAGAGCAGTAGCCTCAGGGCCACGACCTGTCCTCGAGTATGACATCGGCGAGATCGTCTACTTCTTCCGGATGGGAGCCGACAAGAAATTAAAGTTCAAGCCATGTTACTGGCATGGACCGGCAAGAATCATCATGATCGACCAGCCCAGCACTATCTGGTTACCATACCAGTCCCAACTTGTCAAGGCCAGCCCCGAACGAATCAGGAGAGCTTCACTGGAAGAAAACATGGCACTGTCAGGATGGCTGGAAGACCTCGTAAAGCTGAAGAAGGACATCGCCACGGAACCGATTCGCGGTTTCCTGGACCTGTCCGACCAACCGCTCCCAGAGATCCTTGACGATGAGAACAACCATGAAGAGTACACCCCAACCGAACCGGACGAAGCACCTGATCAAGACATTCCAATGGAACCAGTACTACCACCAGGACTCCAAGAACCTCTCGGATATCCAAGACCCATGAAACGCTATCGAGAGAAGGGACCACAAGATGAACTGGTTTATGATGACAGAGAACCACCTCCTGCAGTACCTGACGACAAACAACCAAGAGACCATCAACAAGATGAAGCAGTTCTCCAACCAACCTCCAGAACCTGAACATGAACGAGAAAAGAGAGCACATGATGAAGAAGAATTGGATGAACACCCCAGCAAAAGATCACGGCTAGAATATCTCGAAACCTACCTCCTCAAGGTGGAGAACTAGATTAAAGGAAGACAACGAAAAGAAGTTCGACTACAAGAACTCAACCTCCGCAACCAAAAATGCTTCAAGAACGCCATTGGAAAAGAGATCCAGAACAACATCAACATCGGTGCCTACACCATTGTCAGCCCCGAGGAATCAGCTCGTGTCAGACAAACTATGCCGAACAAAGTCATGGAGAGTCGGCTAGTCCTCACACCCAAACCGAAAAAGCCAAAGAGGAAGAAATTCTTCTGGACTGGGATACCGACGAACCATGCAAGGCAAAGGCTCGTCATGTCATGAAAGGCTTCAGCAAAGAAGGCGCTGAAAACATTGAGGCAACCACTCCACAAGTGACCCGAGAAGGCACACTCACTGTCGCCCAACTAGTCTCCAGTTTCCAGTGGAGGCTTGGCTTTCTGGACTTCACCCAGGCATTCCATTCTGGAGATCCAACGAGAGACTCCTGTACACTCAACCAAGAGAAGGCATCCCAGGCATGAATCCTGGTCAACTGCTCAAACTGGAAAGGTTTACAGATGGGCCACTTGCATGGTACAACCACCTCCGGAAGTTCCTCGTTGGCGACCTCAACTACCAACAGTCATTGGCCGACCCGTGCATCTATTACAAGCTCAAGACCAATCTAGAAACAGGAAAAGAACCGCTGAGTGGGATCATAGCGGTAGCCACTGACGACCTTCTTCACGGAGGAGATCATGACCATGAAGAGGCCATGAACAAGATCAAGACCAAGTACAAGCTTGGCAAGTTCCAGTACGGCACAGGAAAGTTCACCGGCAAGCTCTTCACCCAGCACGATGACTACAGCATCACGGTGAATCAAGAAAACTATGTACAGGAAAAACTCTTCGAAATCCACCTCGAGAAAAGCAGAAAGAAAAGAAGATTCTCATTCTGCGATGACAAAGAAGTGTCAAGTCTACGAGCCAGTGTCGGAGCCCTCGCATGGTTGGCCAAGGAGAGCAGACCGGACATTGCTGGAAGAGTGGCACTACTTCAACAAGTATTTCCACGACCACGCATCAAGGACATCGTTGAGGCCAACTCCATCACCCAGGAGGCCAAGAAGCATGCCACGAGCGGCATCCGGATCATTCCCATTGCTCCAGGCAACCTGAGAGTCGGCGTCGCCACTGACGCTTCCTGGTCTAACGCGAGAAGTCAAGACCAGATCGAAAAAGATGGTCCTGATTACTGGGAAGAGAAAACTCAACATTGGATCCGTCGCCACTTGACACCACGAAGAACCTTGTTTCATCCAGGAGCTACACCAGGACCTGACCTTCACGATCTCCAGCCAGGACGACGGACAGTGAACAGCCTCGGAAACACCAAGGAGGACGATTGGACAAGAGGAAACAGCGCCACCACCTGGGATTCACAACCACGGACTGGACAAACAATAATCACTAAGCAGCTTCCCGGTCATGAATTGGAACACTCCCACATCAGCGATTGCTTCCTTAAGATGCTGACTTGCAGCAGTCAAGGTGGCTATGTCCTCATGTTCTTCGACAAGCGCATGGAGAGTGAAAGCCAGCCACACATGGTCTCAGTGACTTCGTGGAAGTCCTCAAGGTTGAAAAGAAAAACAGTAAACACACTCAGTGCAGAATGCCAAGCACTGATCCAAGGAATCGGCCAAATCCATTGGCGCAGGTATCTCCTGTTCTGGGAAAGACACCTGGCATCAATTCCCTACGTGTCAGTGGTTGATTCCCGTTCCCTCTACGATTGCATCAACAAGTTGGTTTGCACCTACGCCCAAGTGGAAGACAAAAGGACAGCCATCGATGTCGCCATCCTCAAGGATGATCTCTGCCGGTCTGGCGGAACACTGAGGTGGGTAGCAGGAGACAACATGGTTGCTGACCCCCTCACTAAACGTATGTGTTCCGACTTCCTCCGAATGATTTGCAACACCGGCATGTGGTCACTCTCGGAAGACGGTCACGAAAGACAATGTACAGAGCACGATGTCTTGCTCGTCTCGCTTTGCCGCTAAGAAGTTGTGCCGGTGTGAAATTGTGATACACCGGCATCGCTCGACCCAAGACCAAGCTAGGAACCTGTACTCCAAATGGGGGTTACGTGTCCGCTGAAAAGGGAGTCCGTTCTTGCTTGGGGCCTTGCTGCGGTTCTTGGGATTCACAGAATCATTTTGACTTGGTCGACCTGTGTGCTTTGGAACGAATGGTCAACCCGGGCTCTGTGTTAGTGTTGTTGGCACTTTTCTGTGCTCGTTTCGAATTTGGTAGATATTTGGTTTTGTTGGTAGTTTCATATCATCAGAGCTGGCTGAAACACTGTAGCTTTAGCTCGTTGAAGTTTCTTTACCTGAGCAATTGACACGTGCGTGCATCTTTCATATGCACTGCATTCAGTCAATATTAACGGAAGCTGGGCATAACAACTTGAGGGCCAAACTTTGATTTCTGGGATGTTGTTGAACAGACGGAAAGCGTGAAGGGGCTCAATCAACACATACCAAGACGATAACACTTCAATCATCAATCCATGTATGGTGTAACAGAGTAACACACTCAAAACAACGCAAAGCAACAAGGGACTTGCTCAAAGATCAAACACAAGGTTCTGACCGTATTCACTAGGACCTTGGCGGTCAATCAGGACCAAGGAGACTCCGGCAATCCACTAGCTTTTTGCTTTATACTTCTGGCACATAAATGTATGCTGTGTCCCTTCTACTTTCACACCAGAAACCAGGTACTTTGTGAACTGACAATGGTTTAAGTTTAAGTGTGTTCTCTTATAATCACTGCAAGCTGTTTGTTCACTCTGCCCTCTCAAGTAGAGCTGGACTCAGGATTGCAGCTCTCATCGATGTGGGGCAAAGGGCTCAGTACAAAGAATGATTCTTAAACAAACGTGATTTTTGACAGGAATGGCTCTACTTTGTCCTTGCTACTATATATATATATATAATAAGCCGGCATCTTACCATGTAGCCTCCTCCTTTGCTCTGCTTGGCATACCCTACGACCCTTCCTCTTCACTGCCCACCTCGCCCTAAACATTGTTTTTCCGTTTGGGCGGTGGTCTGGGCCGTCTACTCCAGGTGTGTCATTGCTTCGCATGAAGCATTTTCAACAGAGCTGGAGAGAAGTTTAGCTACAATGCCACCGATGTTGAGGCACGATCGGAAGTCAGTCTTCTACAAGAGGGCAGAGGGGACAAGTGAAGTAAGAGCCCCTGAAGGGTCGACTACTTGGCTCATGTTAAGTCTCCTTGGGTTCTCGCAAACAGCAAGAATGGAGGCACAGCAGCAGCTATGAGCATTGGATTCGTGGTGCGTTCCTCATTACACAGGCAAGGTTGTGATCTGAGCATTGCCCGTCTTTCAGAGCTTTGCATTTGTTAGTGTCAGTGACCGGTTGGCTTAGCGCCAGAAGCGATGACATTCAAGATCGTAATAGGTGGAGCCGGACGAAGGAAAGCTGACGATCCAAATTGATTCCGAAGGCATGCTCCAAAGAGTCTGAGACTGAGAGGTAGAAACTCCAAAGAGACACCGTGTCAAAAACACAAAAAACTGTTGTGAGCGCAGGACAAGCAGAGTTTGAACGTGAGAAGCTAAGAAAATATTTAAAGGCTTACGCCTAACAGCCGGGCGCCGGCCCACTTGGGTCTGTGGGGCGTATGTCACGCCTATGTTGGCCTTGGTGAGGCCTATATTGAGCAAAGTTAAGCTATCTGGTGCGCATCTTGGCCCTAGGTTGGGCCAAGTGGGGCCCATGTGGTGTATGTTGGGCACATCTTGGGCCCATGTTGAGCCTATGTTGGGCCTATGTTGGCCTATGTTGGCCTATGTTGGCCTATGTTGGCCTAGGTTGGGCCTATGTTGGGCCTATGTTGGCGTATGTTGGCCCCATGTTGGCCTATGTTGGCTCTATGTTGAGCCATCTTGGAGGCTATGTTGGGCATATGTTGGGGATATGTTGGCTATCTTGGGCCTATGTTGGGGATATGTTAGGAGGCAATTTATGTTGAAAAAATCTTCCGACACAACTTTTTACGATTTTTTCCCGCAAAGCAAAAGCCATGGAAAGACCTACGTTTTTTGACATCGCCAAGATAAAATTCTCGGCCGCCGAGGGGCCCAAAACCCTGTAAAACACAGTGTTTTTATACCTCACACGCACGAAACACTGTAAATTACAGGGGCGTCAGTGAACCGGAAGTGACCAGGGGGTCCCCCCGTTTTTCGTGGCGAGGGTCGGCGGCAGGGGGGGCGAGCGTCTATAACCTTCGGTTACCACCGAAGGCCCTCCGGGCACGCCACGGGCGTTTGGGTGGTGTGTGGATTACGCCTAACAGCCGGGCGCCGGCCCACTTGGGTCTGTGGGGCGTATGTCACGCCTATGTTGGCCTTGGTGGGGCCTATATTGAGCAAAGTTAAGCTATCTGGTGCGCATCTTGCCCCTAGGTTGGGCCAAGTTGGGCCCATGTGGTCTATGTTGGGCACATCTTGGGCCCACGTTGAGCCGATGTTGGGCCTATGTTGGCCTATGTTAGGCCTATGTTGGCCTAGGTTGGGCCTATGTTGGCGTATGTTGGCCCCATGTTGGCCTATGTTGGCCCTATGTTGAGACCTGTTGGAGGCTATGTTGGGCATATGTTGGGGATATGTCGGGTATCTTGGGCCTATGTTGGGGACCTGTGAGGCCATTTATGTTGAAAAAATCTTCCGAGACAACTTTCTACGAATTTTTCCTTCCCGTGAAGCAAAAACCATGAAAAACTTACGTTTCTTAAGACGAAATTCTCGTCCGCCGAGGGCCCCAAAACCCTGTAAAACACGAGGTTTTTGAACATCGCATGCAAAAAACACTGTAAATTACAGTGACTTCAGTGACCCGGTAGTGACGAGGGGGTCCGCCCGTTTTGGTGACGAGGGTCGGCGGCAGGGAGGCCGACCGTCTATAACCTTCGGTTACCACCGAAGGCCCTCCGGGCATGCCACACGCTTCCTGGCCACCGCCCGGATTTAAAGGCTTACGCCTAACAGCCGGGCGCCGGCCCACTTGGGTCTGTGGGGCGTATGTCACGCCCACGTTGGCCTTGGTGGGGCCTATATTGAGCAAAGTTAAGCTATCTGGTGCGCATCTTGGCCCTAGGTTGGGCCAAGTGGGGCCCATGTGGTGTATGTTGGGCACATCTCGGGCCCATGTAGAGCCTATGTTGGGCCTATGTTGGCCTATGTTAGGCCTATGTTGGCCTAGGTTGGGCCTATGTTGGCCCCATGTTGGCGTATGTTGGCCCCATGTTGGCCTATGTTGGCCCTATGTTGAGCCATCTTGGAGGCTATGTTGGGCATATGTTGGGGATATGTTGGCTAGCTGCGGCCTATGTTGGGGATTTTTGAGAGAATTTCTGTAGAAAAAGTCTTCCGAGACAACTTTTTACGATTTTTTCCTTCCCGCAAAGTAAAAACCATGAAAAAACCGACGCTTTCTGACATCGCCAAGATGAAATTCTCGGCCGCCGAGGAGCCCAAAACCCTGTAAAACACAGTGCTTTTTATACCTCACACACACGATGCACTGTAAATTACAGCGACTTCAGTGAACAGGAAGTGACGACGGGGTCCGCCCGTTTTGGTCCCGAGGGTCGGCGGCAGCCGGTGCGCCCGTCTATAACCTTCGGTTACCACCGAAGGCCCTCCGGGCATGCCACGGGCTTCGTGGCCGGCGCCCGGATTTATGAGGCTTACGCCTGACAGCCGGGCGCCGGCCTATTTGGGTTTGGGTATGTGCAGGGCTGGGTCCTCTCTCTCTCTTTGAGACTTGGTGGGGCCTATATTGAGCAAAGTTAAGCTATCTGGTGCGCATCTTGGCCCTAGGTTGGGCCAAGTTGAGCCCATGTGGTCTATGTTGGGCACATCTTGGGCTCAAGTTGAGCCTATGTTGGGCCTAGGTCGGCCTATGTTAGGCCTATGTTGGCCTAGGTTGGGCCTATGTTGGGCCTATGTTTGGCGTATGTTGGCCCCATGTTGGCCTATGTTGGCCCTATGTTGAGCCATCTTGGAGGCTATGTTGGGGATATGTTGGCTATCTTGGGCCTATGTTGGGGATATGTTAAGCAATTTATGTGCCCAACACCCACGAAATGTCGATTAAGCCTGTCCGCGCGGCACGCATAACCGACACCACGGGCGCCCTGTTAGGCGAAAGTCGTGGACGCCGAAGGCAACAAAACACTGTAAAAAACTGCTGTTTTTGAACATCCTACGCAAGATACATTTGACATACATATAACTCCGTCGACCGGATTCGGGCGGGGGTCGGGCGGAGGTCCGCCCGCGGTCGAACAAAAGGGTCGGCGGCAGGGGCGGCGAGCGTATATCCGGCCAGGGGCCCACGGGGCCCCGCCATGGCCGTGTCATTGCCGTAGGCATCTCTCCTCTCCGAAGGAGAGAGTGGAGTCCCGCCCCTACCGCCGACCCCACAGGAATCGTGTGTTTTACAGTGTTTTCTGCTTCTTCCACTTTTTCGCTCTTGCACTCCATCCGGAAGCAGAAAATTATCCAATATATACTTTTCGATTCACAAGCTTCTTAACTTGTCTTTGAAGAGCTTGTGGGCGTTCGAAAAGGGTGCTCGGTTAAATTGGGGACCACGTATATGATTCTTTTTGGTCCAAGTGCCATTGGGAGATGAACGTTGGCTGGGATTTTTTTGTCCTTCTTGTTTAGCGCAATCAGATATTAAGGATACGACCAAATCTTGGTAGGGAAGTTGCGGGCGTGCTCGAATGCCTCTGACTAGACTTCTATGGAACCGAAGATGCACCAATGAAGAAGTTCACGTCTTTTTATAACGTGGGAATAGATGGCATCGCGTGGTATGCTCAAGGAAAAATACACCATTCCTCAAGTTGCTTGTTGTTGTTTGAATCTATGCCCAATCGGTGGGAGTAACTGAGCTTCCTCAGACTGATACTCATACGGGATTGGATATCTCTTGTTGTTATCATGAATCCATACAGGAAGGACATCTCCATAGTGGATCATGCGTAACACCACCAGTTCATACCAAGTGATCCCATAGTCCTGTCTGGGCAGGGGCTTTTCTGGGGATGGCCATTTCAACGTCTGAAACAATTTCCAAACTTTGCGTGTAACCTCTCTCCCCCAGTATGACTGAGGCGTGTTCGGCTGCAGGATGCAATTCAAGCGAAAGTTGCCATTTTGGTACCCCCACATCCCACTGGGCAAGTTTGGTACGAACTTGTGCGTAGAAATCCACGGTCTGCAGCTGGTCAAGCTGTGTGGACTTTGATTCTTTCTCAATTTTAAGCACAGAGTGTAGCCCATCCAAGTCAATGAAGTATTTGTGTGCAGTCGTCAGGGCCTCTAACTGCAGTCGAGTGTGATGGTAAAACGTATCAGCTGCTTCTTCTAGTACAGGCAATTCGTCCTTGTTTCTATTCACATCGCTTCGCAGGGGAAGCCGCCCGCACAGATGAAATGGGTACATGTATCAGTACCACCCCACGAAGATACAAGGATACGGGTTGGTTATTGGTGCGGGAAGCAGCAACTTGTGCTGTCAGAGCCGGTCTGTCTCGGTATGTTTGTCTCGGTCTGTTTGTCTCGGTCTGTCTGTCTCGGTCTGTCTGTCTCAGTCTGTCTGTCTCGGTCTGTCTGTCTCTGTATGTCTCTGTCTGTCTCAGTGTATGTCTGTATCGGTCTCGGTCGGGCAGGATACACGGACGAGCACACCCACGGTGTCTATAGTGCAGGTTCCCCCGGGCTGCGTAGCCGGCATCGTGAACGTTTACGTCCGAAGCCACACGGACAATCATACACACGATATCACCTTGTGTCCATTTTCAAAACCTCAAAAGCCCACGTTCTAGATTCTAGACCCTCCCCAAGCTAAAGCTTAAGCTGTTTATCTAGCAGCTTCCGGTTTACTCCGGCTTGTTGATTTCTTCGAATCCTTTACAGCGCCTCAGCGCCTTCGGTGCGGGCGGATTTAGCGGCTTCGTCTGCTACAGTGCTGCCTAATACTTGTTCTGAATCCTGACGAGAGGTAGCTTCTGCCAATGACCTGTGGGATTTGACTTTTCAAATGCTATGGTACAAGGGTCGACGAAATCTACGCAACTTAAAGATCAGATCTGCGTGAGCAAAGCCATGGGGATGAGTAAAAACGCTTTCATCTGCCAAGTCTTCAACAATGCGACCGGCAAATGCTGAGTCGGTAAAAGTTGCAACAAAGGTATCAGGATGGTTGGTGGCTATATATGCCACTGTCTCAAGCCCTGCTCTTTTAATGGTGTGACATTGACATATTTTGACTGTACATGTGATCATTTGCATGCCATTATGAGCGGGATCAGGATTTGATGGATTTAACTTTTGAATTGTTGCCCAGGCAGCTCGACGGCAGTTGGGATCTTTAGGGCGGTCACTCGTCCCATCGGAAAACGATCAACATGGCCGAACAATGCAATTGGTGGAGAATCTGAG